AACTTCGAATATGGCTAGGTGTGTCTAGTGCTAATGTATGAGGAATTTTGTTTGTAAAAGAGTTGGTTTAGAAAGAGAGAGAGAATCAAGAAATTCTTGATGAGAGTTGGTGAGAGAGAGAATTGGTGAATGAAAACGGAGTTTTTAGAAGACTATTTTATAGAGAAAATCAGCCAAAAAGATAAAAAAAACCAAAACAGAGTTCTGACGCGTAAAACGAGGTTAGCGCCAGGCGCTAAGGCTAGCCCTAGGCGCCAAGCTTAGCGTCAGGTGCTAATGCTGGCGTTTGGCGCTGACTAAGTTTTTGACGCGTTTTCTTAAAATCAGATAGAAATTTCCGTACATGAGGATAAAATCGTATTTTCCTCAAAAACGTTCTTTTATTCTGATAAAAACTCTAAAAAAAGTCAACAAAAGTCAATTTATCAATGCTAATCGAATTAGGAATGAAAAGAACCTTCTAGAAGAATCTAGAAGACTAAACCATTCCTAATTGCATTAGGAATGATAAATCTAAGTTAGGCCCTCCTCTAGATCATTGGGCCGCATATAAGGCTCAAACCAAGCCCAGTTCAGTAATTCGGCCATAACTTCCTCAATATTCATTGGAATTGGGCTTATAATATATCGTTGGAAAGCTCTTTTCAAGCCCCGTCCAACTACACTACTATTGGACCCATATCATGGACCAACCAAACTGAATCGGCTGTTTTCTTTAAATAGGTTTTCAAAAACAGAGAGAAGAGAAAAGAAATTAAAACTTTCCGCAATACTAAACTTTCCACACTTTCACTTCATTCGATTATGATTCGACGTGAAAGATACTCATCGCTGGGTTTGGTTTTAGGGAGACACAAATGGGAGTCTACACTGCCCAACCTAATTAAGTTCCTAACTTAATTCCACTCAACACTTCCAGAGTACTACTCTCCCAGATTCACACAAAAAGCTTATTACTCACTTTGTATCAAACATAAACTCACACACAAATCCCAAAATAACACAAAAGTTAAACTCTTATATGTGATTAGAAAGCTACACATGAAACCCGAAACTATTATGATAAAGCTCTAAGTTTAGCAAACTTACTCTTAATTGCTCCTAAGGTTTTCAGGTAAAAACTCACACTTTACTTAGAATATGAAGTCTCTTACTTATAGAAGACATGAAGACATTCATTTACCAAGTAGGGTTTTCATTTAAAGATATACACTAGATGAATTTGATTATCAATCCTTTTAACAACACAAGTAGAAATGAATTAATTTAGAAAATCATTTGCAAAACCGAATTGTTAGGCCTAATTATGTAGCTAATGTGTCTAATAAGCCAATGTATGCTTAGACCTTATAGTGTTGTCATTAAGTTGTATATAAACCGTGACTACAATGCAAGGAAATTAAATTCCTGATATGGTATGCAAGCCTAAACCCTAAAAACGATTTAATTTTTTTTATTTCTCTGATCTCTTACCAATTACTGCCTTCTAGAATGGCTAAGGATGGGAAGATTGAATCATTCTTCTCCGTTCTACCTGGGTGCAGGTGATCAACCTGGTAATTTGATTACTCACCTAGTCTTAAAGGGTGATAATTATCTATCGTGGTCCAAGATATGTAATTACTTTGTCTCTACGATCTTGTAGAAATTTTGTGTTTGCGGATAGAACTATCACAAAGCCGACCGAGAAAAAGAAAATGCTTGATTAGGAAACCGTTAAATCCATGCTTGTTTCTTGGATTTTATGATCTATGGACTCGAAGGTTTCTGCAAAAATTCCTTACTTTGAGGAGGCAAGAAGCTCTAAGATTATTTGGAGAAGCAATATTGCATATTTAATGGCTCTAGGTTGCAATTTTTGCGAGCTCATATTACTAATGGTAAACAAACCAAAGACATGTCTGTCGAAGACTATTATACCAAACTCATGGGCTTGTTTGACAACCTCACGCGACTTAAACCACCACATGGTTGTGAATGTGGGTTGTGCACATGTAATGTTGCAGCAAAATATGCCGCGGACAGAGAAGAAGAAGTGATACACCATTTTATATTGGTTTTAATTTGATGATGACTTATACGCTATTTTGCGCACGAATTTATTGTCACAATAGCCACCATCTGTCCTTAACCACGCCTATTAGGCTTTGCTCCATGAGGAAGAGTCGTGTGGGATTGCTATAGGCAAGGCTAAGAAAGACGCGGTGTGGGATGCTCATCCTTTTTCCGTGAACACTACTTGGTAGAAGGGAGCCATGGACCATCCATATAAATCGAAATTACATTGTTCGCATTGCAAGAAAACAGGACATGATAATGAAGGATGCTTTGAGCTTCATGGGTATCCTTGTTGGTGGTTTGAACTTTAATGAAGGGGAGGTAGGGGGTACTACTACTGGTTAGTTCCTCACGCCCTCCAAAGCCTACTCAAGGTGCGGCTTCATCGACTGCTCAAGGTGCAAGCAAAGCAGGAGCTGTCCAAGCCAATGCTGTGAGTGAGCCTATTCATGGCTATGGTTATAATCTTTCTTTGGCCGACCTAAAACCTGAGGATGTTCAAGCATTATTTTATATGGTTAATCTTCATATACATGATCTTTTTCAAGGTGAATCTTTGTCTTCATCTTGGATTATCAATACGGGAGCATCTTATCATGTGACCGACTACGAATCTTATTTGGTGGACATTTGTTCGATCACATCATTTCCCGTGTGTCTTTCCAATGTTGATCAAGTTGTGGCCTTGAAAGAGGGTCGTGTTCGTATGCCTGACAACTAAATTTTGGAACATGTGTTATTTGTTCCTAAGTTACAACGCAATTTAATATCAGTATCTTAAATGATTGGTAATTCTTACTATTTTGTCCAATGCACTGATGATTTATGTGCTATATAGGACCAACGTTTAGAAAGCCTAATTGGAGCCGGTGAATGGAAGAAATGACTTTACAACAGTATGTGCGGTTCATGTTCCTAAAGTGTCTGATTTTGAGCTATGGCTTAGAAGATTTGGGCATCCATTGGATAGAGTGGTCAAGTTAGTACCTAATGTTTGTAATAGTTTTGCTAGTAATAATTAAATAAAGCTTGTCATGTATGCCCTCAAGCTAAACAATCTAGGGATAGTTTTCCTAACAGTGATAGTAAAGCTAGTCGTATTTTTGAATTAATCCATTGTGATTTATGGGGATTGTATAAAATTCCTTCTACTTCTGGTGCACATTATTTTTTGACTTTGGTTTATGATTATTAAAAAGGTACTTGGGTTTATTTGCTCATTCCAAAACTAAAGTTCGTTCTTCATTTCCTTCCTTTTTTTGCTATGATTGAACGTTAATTTGAGGTGTCTGTAAAATTGGTGAGGAGTGACAATATGTTACAATCCGACTCCTTTTGATGTATTTAGATGATCCTTTAATTCTTTACTAGATTTTAGTTTATGCTTTCTAGGCTTTAGATCTCATCATTGTGTTACTATTAATGTAGTGTTCACTAGGGATTCTCCTTGTAATAAAATTAAAGGCTCTTTAGAGGGTAAATGGTTGAATAAAATCTTAAGCCTTCCCTACACATCGCACTAAGAACTCGTGGTTCGAATCCAATTATGCCCGCCTTGAAGTATCAGCCGTCACAAGGCCCAACCACTCGCACTCCGTCGCCCAAATAGATGTGAGTGCTTCCAAGATTTAATTGCCCAATTGTGTTGCTTTGTGCTCACAAGCCCCTCTTTCGTACATGGCTACCGTTCTTGCCGCCAAAAGGCTAGAACGTGCTGCATGTTTTGGGGCCCGAAATCCCGGATCGTGACACACTGGCACATAATTCAAGTGCATGCTTCTATACTTTAACGAACATGGAATTATATTTCAAAGGAAATTTTTTCAAAAAAAAAACATTTTAAATGCCTAGAATTGAAATTTTAGAAAATTGAAATTCTAAAATTGAAATCAACGATTTCAAATGAAATGCGAGTATCAAAACACTACCTAAGTTATTGTTGAAATATTAATGGCGTGAGCAGAGGTGAGAGGGAAAGAGAAATCCAAGTGATGTGATTGAAGTGATGAGCATTCATAGAGGGAGAGAAGAGAAAGAAGAGAGAGAGAATACATGGCATTAACTTCGGATGGAAAAGAAAGAAAGGAATGCAAATATAAAAAAGACTTGGGTGCATGTAGAGAAAATAAGAAGTCAACACCTGAATCCTTGAGTCAATACCGCAAAAAGAGGGGAGAGGTTTCATCTAACAAAAAAAAATGATCGTGAGGGTTTTTTAACAAAGACCCTTTAAAAAGGTTTTTTCTTGCAAAATAAGGCATTTAAAAAAAATTTGACAAATTTTCCTATTTCAAACTTCATGTGTCACACCCTAACAAAATGGTTGTGTTCAACAAAAGCATTATCATATCTTGAATATGGGGCGTGCTTTTACCTATTGGTTATTGGGGTGAGTGCGTTCTTGGGGCAATTTACTTGATTAATCATACTCCATCACGTTTGTTGCACAATAAGACATCATATGAGGTTTTATTCGGTAAAGAACCTAGTTTTGATGAATTACGTGTTTTGGTTCACATTTGCTCATAACCAAAAAGCAATGGGTGATAAATTTACACCAAGAAGTGATAAGTGTGTTTTGTAGGCTATCCCGCAAAAAGGGTTGGAAATTATACGATCTTGAAACGGGTGAGATATTTTAGAATGAATTTATGTTTTCTAGTGATCCAAATTTAAATATGGCCTCCGAAAGTAATGTGGGATTATCTAAATTTTTTAGGATAATGTGGGGATTGATCATATATTTTTGATGACTTGGAGACGGTTTTGGAGGTCTACGACGGGGATAATATTTATGGTGATGTTGCTGCCTTGGATACGGATGGCTGGCAATCCGCAATCACAACCACCTTGCTGGGGCTACTGCCAGCAGTGTTGTTGTTGCCCATGGCAGTGTGCCTGCTAACGCTGCTACTGTTGCTAAGCTAGCAGCATGTGTGAAGGTTCTAGCAGCCTAGGTTGCACTAATACGGATACGGGGACAAAAACGGGTACGGATACAGGGACGTGATACGGCAATTTTTTTTTTTTCAAAAAACGGGTACGGCAAAAAAAAATTCAGCAAAATATAAATCCATTAAAAAAAAAATCCATACAACACAACTTAGAAGAAATACTACGGAATTTAATGTCGTAAAGTGCTGAAATTCTTAAAAACATAAATATAAGCGATAAATTTAATCTTCCGCGATCAAATTTCTTTCCTGATCCGGCTCATCAAGAGAGAGGTCCGCAAACTCTTCCTCATATTGTGCACTATTCCTTGATATAAGACGAAGATTGTAGTGAATGTAAACCAAATCTCATGCACGACTAGGATTTAATTTGTTCCTTCAAAGTGAGTGAATGAAGTTGTATGTACTCCAATTCCGCTCACAACAAGAAGAGGACTGCCCAAGTAACTTAAAAGCTAAAGTTTGAAGGAGAGGAGTTTCTGCACCAAAATTTGCCCACCAACTCTTAGGTTCCATAGTGGCCATCTTTGACATAATGGTTAGATCCTCAAAAGGCCCAATTTTCATAGAAAATAGTGCGTATTCATCCATTGCTTTGCTAATATCATCACCGAGAGGAAATAACCTACGAAAGCACCTCATTCTTTCACGAGATATTTCGCCATCACTATGAGGAGCAACTCTAGAAGAATCCTTAACTAGCCATTCATCGCTGTAAAATCTTCAACAAAAAGAAAGGAAGTTATAGGAAATATTTACATCACAAAAATTTAGTAGTTACTCAAATAGTTAAGTGTGAGAACATATACCTTGGAATCAAAGAGTGGGCTAGACAGTGAAGAGGAGTGTTGCTCTTTGTCCACCGAGCAAATAAGATTTCATATACCACATCAAAAAAACTTACTAGTACCCGTACGTGGTAACTCGTCATACTTGAAAATTGTAATCTTCACCTTCTCAATCATAGAATCCCACATCTCATATACTAAGTGGAGACATGGTTTATCGGTGTCACAATATCTAAACATGTCATAGATAGGATTTGTGAAATCAATGACATAATCTATTGTATCCCACTTAAAGGTGGGCACGGGTCGTGCCTGCACGCGGGCGGCACGGGCCCGGCATGATGCCGGCATGGTACCACCACCGGCGCGGCACGACATGGCGACCCACCTGTGGGCCGTGGGTCGTGTCGTGAACAAAAAACCCAGTTTTGGCACGGCACACGGCACGACGGGCGGCAAGGTGGTTGGAACGTGGGCTAGCACGCCGGCACGACCCGTCGGCACGGCACGTGGCACGGCCGAGCACGGCCCGGCACGACACGTGACCCATATTTACTCATTATTATACATTATTGTACAATTTTTGTAATACCGAACTTCTTATTCCGTATAATAAATGAAGTTATTCACCAAATATTGTACGATTTTTAATTATCATTAATTATTTGTATTATCGATTTATCGTACTGGCTCCCGGCATATAATAAAATAAGTTATTCTTCAATTTTTTGTGTTTTCGGATTATCGCACTCGTAATTTTTTTTTTATTATATCCATTGTTGTTTTTTGCTAAATTAGTAAAATTGTTTTTATTTGTTTATATAAACTTAAACATAATTAGATAGATAATTTATATAACCTTAATTAAAATAAAGTTGTTCTAAACAAAATATATTAACATGAACATTAACATAAACATAAATTAATCACATTATTTATATAAAATTAAGTTGTACTAAAAATATATATATCGTTTTTTTATTTACATTTATTATTTAAAAAATAAATAAAAAAATAAAAAATAAAAAAAATCAAAGTGGCACGGTTTGGCCCGCGACCCGGCACGACACGGCTCGCCAGGCACGCGGGCTGTGTTGTGCCGTGGGCTGGGGTGTGCCAAAATTAGACACGGAAAGGCCCGCCCCGGAGCCGGCATGACACGACCCCAACCGCAGCACGGCTAGGCACGGCCCGCGGCGGCACGGCACGACCCGTTGCCCACGTTTAATCCCACTACATATCCAACAAAATTACTTCCTTCAACTTGGCTGCCTTCCCCGGGTCGTCTTCTTTGTAAGATCAATTGTACAACATTTTGGTGACCCACTTTGTGACTGACTTCTTTCATCAGATTAGCAATGAAATATTTATCCTTCACTTCACCAAAGCATTTCACAGCTTTTAGAAACATAGGACCACTTCCGGAAGTAGCCATGAAGTTAATGAGAGGCTTTCTTGTTGGATCACTCCACCCATCACATACAATTGTCACACCTTTTTCTTTCCAAGTTGCTTTAAGTGGCAAAAGTTGCCTTTCAACATTATTTATCTCATTCATAAGGTAAGTTGTTCTCAATTGTTCATAGTTTAGGGTTTAAAACTAGCTAAATTATGGGTAGCAGCAAAAGTGTAGGACCGAATATAGTGTGGAATTCGAGCAAGATTAAATGGTAAGCCTCTTGTGTAAAACATTCTTGCAATTTCTTGACTTAATTTGTCCCTAGCTTCAACACCAAATGCTCTAGCAATAGGTGATACTGCTGGCTTTCTTTTCTTAGAGGCTAAATCATCTATTCTTTGCATTTCAATTTTATCAGCTTGTGTTACTTTCTTACAAATTGCAATGCCTTGATTTTTAATCTGAAGTAAATGAGTTCGAACTCTAGAATAGCTTCATGATTTGATTTCATTACAAAAATTACATTGAAATCTCCATGTTCCACCCAAAGCCCCCTTTTTGTCTAATTTTGTAACATAATTCCACAACGAAGCTGCATTGTCAGTTGATTTTGTATTAACAGACCCACTACCCGTACGACTACCAACATTTTGAGACTCCATTCAACTACAGTACTGCACAATGTAATAAAATAAAATAAATAAATAATCACCTACTGACATTCTCAATTAATGTCACTACATTTCACTATAATATCAACAACACATAAAAACAATTAAAAAAGAAAACAAAACACTTACAGAAGAAAGAAAGAAGAGATTAAGAAAGAAAGAAAGAAGAGAGTCAGAAAAAGAATGAAAGAAACACTTACTGTAGCCTCGCAGGTGGGTCTCCGGCGAAGAAGAAGGTGGGTCTTCGACGCCGCCTTGAACCAATCGTCGACTGTCGTAGCCTCCAGGTGAGTCCCCGGTCGCCACCGTCAATCAAATCGCACAGGGAAGAAGGAGTTTGAAATTTTAGGGTTTGTGAGAATTGGGGGAAATCGACTCTAAGGTAAGTTTTGTTCTAATTTGGGTTTTTTATTTAAAACAATTGGGCTGGGCTTCTTGGGTACGGCAGAATTTGGGATTTCCCGTACCCGAAACGTTTCCGATCAAGACCCTAGTTGTCCCCTAAATGACGTGCCGTACCACTTTTGATGGGGACGGATTGGGGACGTATCCTAGCCGTCCCCGTCGCGTACCCGTCTTCGATACGTTTTGGGTACGGGAGACGGCAGCCCAGCGCGTACCCGTGCATGATTGTTGGCATCCCCTCTTCTGGGCTAAGGGTTCTTATGAGACAAGACAACTCGCGAGCTATCCGATTTTAACTCGGTGAAAACTCGACTCAAGTAATTTTGATTGGAGCTCGAGATTGACTTGAAATGTTAATGAGTCGAGTCGAGTAGCTCATTACTCGACTTGATTGCTCGTAAGAAGCTCGAATTCCTTTATATAAAACTAGTTTTGTGCTCGTGCGATGCCCGGGTTGTTTATTGAATTTAAAGATAAAATTTTTAATCTATATGTCAAATTTTAAAATATACTATTGATACAAAATTAGTTTATTGATGTACTTTTGTGACGATTTGCTATCTAGTAGGCATGTAATGGCTAATACTAATATTGGTGGAAATGTTCGATTTAATACATTAAAAAATAAACAAAGAATAAATTAAATAAGATAAATGTTCAAAGCCCGTTGGGTTGACCCGAACCCAAAACTTTGGGCAAGGGTTGAACATTTCTTAACTCGTAACCTAAAGTGACCCAATCCGAGATGAATCATGACTCAACCCTAACTGATAGGTCTATGTAGTAATAAAATTCTATTAGTTGTGAAGTATATTATTTTAACCGATTAGTATATATTATAAATAGATGTTTTTACACTTTAAACTTATTCCTTCGCTCCAAACAAAATATTATGACATAAAAAATTAAACTTATATGATAATTTTTAAGAATTATAATCAAATAATTTTTTTAAATAAAATTATAATTCAATTTGACTATCTGAAATATTGATCTTTTATCGAAAATAAAATTCTAAACTTAAAATTTTATCCTAAAATTCTATTTTTTTATCTTATGAATTTTATTTTTATCTTATGAAGTCTATTTAAATCGCTCCAACGTGGCGCGACAATTGACGAAAAGTTGGAAAGCCAAGTGTCGCTACGTCGTGATCTAGCTAAAAGTTTATCTTTATACATTAGTTATATGATTATATTTATTAATGATTAAAACATTTTGAAAAAAAAAACTTTATGTTACATTACCACCTAGATATTGGCAAAATGGTATATAAAAACGATCTTTAGATTGTGATAAACCAGCCTTCTTCACATCATTTGCCTTGTCAATGTAGTGAAAGTTAAGATAACTCTTCTGTTTATTTTTACACATCAAAAATGATAATTATTGCTCTTAAATTGAGGTTTTTATTTTACCAAGGTTCATATATCAAACAAAGCTTTATAGATAAAAAAAAATATTGAATTTGTACCTCTGATTACATCAACAAAAATAGGAGAAAATACATGTTTATCAGGCTAATAAACAACTCTGGGAAATCAGGGGTGTTTTTGTCTTATTCATATTACATATAGGGTAGTATTGTAAATAATTCAAGTTACAGGCAAGACTTCCTCCCTTCTTCCTCCTTCATTACAAGTAGCCATCCCACCTCAAGCATAACTTCACAGCAACGCCATCAGTATCTATGGTGGTTAAAATTTCAACCACAAAGAAGATGCTTCTCCTAAAGGATTGATATGGCCATTCTTGACATTCTTTGTTACTAGGGAGTCGTTTTGTTCCATCGTGAAGCGGTGTTGAAAGCTTGAGGCCATTATTGTTAAGGAAGGAAGAAAAAGAGGATGACGAGAAAGAAGATAAGGACGAATAGATTGGCAGGAAGACGGAGCGATGGTGGTAGTTGTGATGGTTTTTGAGTGGTTGAAGTGGTTGTGATCAGTGGCGGACTGAGCCTTGTGCCTGGTGGGTCAAATGACTCACCAGGGCCCAAAAAAAATTTTAAGTTTTTTTTTTAAAAAAAATAAAAATAAAAAAAAAATCTAACTTCAGGTCCCGACACTTCCTCAAGCCCTAGCCCACTGCCTCCTCAGCTGCTCTTCCCTCTTCGCCTCTTGACTTCCTCTTCGCTTCATCTTCACCAGACTGCCTCCACCCAGCCACCCTCCAGTCGCCTGCTCTGCCTCTGTTGCTTGTCTGCTTGATGCTTTCCTGCTCCGTCTCCGTGGTCACTGCTCTTCGCCTCTTCGCAATCGCTTCGACGCAATTGCTAATTCACTAGTAAGTTGATTTCTAATTTTTATTTTTAATTTCTTATCTTCAATTTAATTCAGTCTAATTAGTTAATTTTATTAAACTTTGGTTTAAACTTTGGTTGATTTGTATTTAACGCTTCCTCTTCGCTCATCGGCTCACGCCTCGTCGCCTCCAGTGCTGGCCCTGCTGCTGGCCCTGCTGCTCCGCCTACTCGCCTCAATTAGCGTCTGCCGTCTGGCAAGGTAATCATCAATTTATTCTTTTTTTTTGTGTGAATTTCTGATCAAATTTGCATTACTTGTTGCTTAAAATTAGTATATACGATGAATGTTCATTGAATTTGCATTATTTGTGTTTTGACTGTTAAATTGAACTTATTATTTTATGTGATGCCGGACATTGTATAAGACAACTATTAGTGTAAGGAGGATTATAAATTTATAATTAGATTACAATGTGGACTGGTTAGTGGTGCTAGTCGCATATTCGGCTGGAAGTTCCGTATAGACTAGGCGGATTCAGGAATTGTAAAACATTGTGTCTGACTTGTGGTTACATAAACCTTAAATCATTCTTAAGTTTTTTCTTGTGATTGTTGCTGTAAATTGTTTAAACTGTTATTACACGGAGAACAGTAGTTAGGGTGTTTATTAGCTTGTTAGTTATTAGTCTGTTAATTATAGTCTTGTAATTTCAGAATGAAGAGAAAACGCATTCCAAATGAAATGCAAAACATTACTAGCTTTTTTGCTAAAAAGAATCCTACTCCAACTTCTCTTCCACATCCAACACAAAATGAACAAACTATATCTCAACCTCAAGAAAGTGAACAACATTCATCTCCATCTCATTATTCAACTTAAAATTCCCCTCAAAATGAACAAGACCAATGTTCTCCTAATGCCCCAATCTTTGATGAAAGATTAAGTGAACATGAATTTGCTAATCTTCCACAAGATCCAGGAAAGAGGAGAAAGATGAGTGAATTTCATAAAGATGATAGAGATTTAGTGAGAAGAATTTACATTCAAAGAAAGCCTTGTCAGCCCAAAGACTTTGTATTTCCTCAAACTTCTATTTTGGCAAAAACCGTCGCTTTTGTGCTAAGTGGTTTGGTACTTGGACTTGGCTTGAGTATAGTGTGGAAAAGGATGCTGCCTATTGGTTGTATTTTGTATTGTTTGAATATTTGGATGTATTTTTTAGTACTATTATTTGGTTGTTTGGTAAAATTTTTTTTTTACATATTTGATTATCGATTGTGACTCACCAGTCGGAAATTCCTGGGTCCGCCACTGGTTGTGATGATGGTGGTGGCTTGATGGTGGAGAACGCCAGAAGGGTTTGTTTTATTTTTTAAAAAAGAAAATTAAAAAAATAAGTAAAGAAACAAATACCCAAGCCACGTCTGCATTGATTAACAAAGTTTTGTGAAGGGCTCAAACTGATCAACCGGGGTGACCTCTCTTTTGGAGAAAATAGAGACCTTGTAACAAAAGAAAGGTTCGTACACTAGATTGTATCAATATGCACTTGATATACGAAGTATAATATTTCTCCAAAAAGTAAACTTACTTAAAATCCTTCATTTCATGATACATTAAGCTCAATGATATAAATTACATGATTATAACCATTAAGTTTTGTATTGTACAAAACTTAATAAATACAAATTTTTATAGATTATATGATCATTTAAATAACAAATCGAAACAAATAAAAACACAAAAAGTATAACCACAAATGAAAACTTTTCTTTGATGAAGCAACCGAGGAACCCTTGTACTCCTCAGCCATTTGGAAATTCAAACATATAATTCAGCCTCCTCTAAGTACAAATATATTGTTTAATTTTGTTGATAATAACAACACATTGTGCTTGATTAATTATAATTATAACTATAATTAGTAGATATAATTTAATTAAATTTGTGCTAGCCTCTCAATGTCAAAGGGGTAAGCATCAGATGATGTTTGTGCCCTGTATGACCTCCTTCCAATAATGACATTAGCAGCCTCCCCTGGATGAAATGCATCCCAAAATACATATTCATTTCTGTTGGGGCATGGTGTTTGTAAGGGCAAACATGTAATTTGACCATTGTTCCTTCCTACTCCACAACACCCTGCATTTGTTACTCTAAACCCTGCATTAACAAAAATTAAATAACGCTTGATCAATACATATTATAATGGATTAATGGAAGTAATTTGATCTAATACAAATATAACACTTTGGATTGTTTTAAAATTATACTGCCTCCGTTTCTTTTTAGTTGACACGTATTCCTTTTTAAGAAATTTTTTTTTCAGTTGACACGTTTCTTTTGGGGTAACTTTTTTACCTTGCATTTACAAGTTATCATAACAAGTTTGTAAATAAATCAACTATGGCAGGGTCCATTTAAAAAAATAAATAATAAAAAAAATTGTTGATTTAATTACCGTTTTGTCATTTGATAAACATATTTAATTTATTAAGGAGATAAACTTATATTTTTCCTAAAGAAGAATGACTTATTTAAAAAACATTATTGCAACTAAAAAAGTGACAAGGGGACGAGAGAGAATGAGAATTTAAAGAAGGTAATAAAAATAAAAAACGTACCATAAGCAGAAGGGTTGTCAATCAAGTTTTGGAACATGTCATAAACATTGATGTAAACCAATCTAGCGTCAGAGAGCTCATTGTTGAGTTGTTGGACCAAAGATCTAAGCCCATTATTGAAGAGCCGATTAGCTGAGTTGATAGTTTCATCACATGTACTTCCATCTTGGCTTCTTTGGGCCAACTCATTTGGGCTGCACCCAATTTGTCCTATTCCTATCAATGCAAACTTCCTTGCCCCATAGTTGTATAGTGACTGCAATAAATTCATATTTTAATTTTTATGATCATCCAAAAAAAAATAAAAAAAATAAAAACTAAATTTTCAAAACAATCCTAGTAATAACTTAGTTATTTACTTTATATGTACATCTTTTCCAACTTATAATTGGTACACTCTATTATGATGTAGAGAGAATTACAAGAGCAATGATGTAGAACAAATTCCATTTTTCATTTTTTAGTATTCAACCACTAGACTAAACTAGCTAATCTACTTGCATCCATACCCTAATAATTATAATTCGATTATATTTAGGAAAAAAAAAGTGCAATATTAAAAATCTTAGGTATGTATTGATAGTCATGACAAAGTTAGGTACATTTATTTGGTTTTATTTTTAATAGTATTGACTGCATATAAGATCAACTCACTCCATTTTGTGGTTTTATTATTCAGCACAAACAAATAAAAAACATAAACTTCATAATACATTGGGGCCCATTTAAATTTGGAACAGGCTTAGTTTTAGGCTCAATTTATTTAATAAAACTAATTTTATCTTAAATTATAAGTATTCCGTATTTTCTTAATTATTTTTAAGTGTATGAAAATTATTAGTGTGTCAATACAATCTCCATCTAATTAATTTCATCTAAACTTTGTCTTGACTTGTGTTAAATTACTTAATTTATTTGAATTTAATTTTCAAATATAAAAAAAGTATATTTTTAATAAACCCCAAAGAGGGAGGATTATATAAATAAAGTTTGTAAAACAAATAAATTCTTAATCAGAAATTTGTTAGTTCATAATTCATATCAAATCAAAACTATAAGTAAGGATCACGTGACATTCATATTATCTAGCCTTTTCTTTTTTGTTTTGGTAGTGCTTGTGTTTGCTAATTCATTCTAGTAGTTTTGCATGCATTTAATTTCCCATCTAAACAAAAAGATTTGCATTTAATTTATCATGTCACGTCATGATTTTTGGTGAAAAAAGTCACGCCAATAATTGATAGGCCTACCCTCTAAAAATAACCAAACAAAGGTGCATGAAGTAAATTAGACTTATCGTTTAAAATTTATTTTTCAAAGCTTTAGCAAAAAATAAAACAAAATTCAATTTACTCCTTTTATTAGTTATTTTTTTCTCCCTACTCACAATTCATTTATTTAGAGTTAAAGAAGTTTGATTGTAAAATCAAAGACCGCACAAAATACAAATAAATATTAGGAGAATTTTACGTGATCATAAATGTAAGGGCGCTTCTACCACTCACGACCCCCACATGAGAAAATATATGTTGTCATTTTCAACCCGATTTTTCAAACATCAACAATTAATTATTATTAATAATAGCATTATCTAAAACATTAAATAAATAAATAAAATGGAGAATGCAAGAAAAGGGAAATAAAAGAAGATTACTAACCCTAATATGCTGAGAGTACTCTTGAATAAGAACATCAGCATACTGTTGAGGGTTGTATTGGCGGCTAGTTTGATAGTAATTAGGCATGAAATAGTTGTTTAGATAATCGTTGCTACCAAGTCCCACTGAGTAAATGCATCTGCTCAGATAACTGGCTGCCTGATCTTCATCTCCTAGTATTTGTACTACTTGTGATACTGTGTTCTGGTAGTTTGCTACTTGTCCTCTGAAACTTATCCTTCCTCCCTGCAAATTTTTCATTCCACATAGTACACATTACTAGTCGGAAACTTATCCGTCGTTTGAAATAGTGATCATATATGATATACATAAAACATTTATTAAAACTTTATGGTGTATAATTTAACAGATGTGTGACATTTAAATTTGAACAGAATATACGGAAACGTTCATATAAGTACAACTTGCATTTATAAATATCATATGGACAATACATTTATTTGTGCACATTGTCAATTACTACATAATATTTTTATTTTTATTTTTAGATCTACCATTGCGTTAAGAATTACTTTTCAAGAGTAGTGAAAATTATTACTCCTATGCCATAATTATTTATACATAGGAGTTGAGGATAGAAATCAAAGTTTCACATTATATTAAATTAATTGTTTCACGTATAAATTTTTTTAATTATGAACTTCACGTGGATAGACTGTCTACGTAGTACTAGATAAGTGGATACTGGATAGATATAGCAATCTCTGTGAATATGAATATTGAATATAGTTAGCCCTAGATTTCAGTGATTGATTAGTATATAACATTAAATTAAAAATGTATCCACCGTAAAAGTCACTGAAAATTCCTATTAAGTATTGTAGACATTTTTTTAAATGACAATATTTTCAAATTATTAGTTATTATATATTATCCACCACTTTTGAAGAGTATTGGACAGACAAGTATATTCAATTACATTGCCGACAGTTTACAATTTTCTATATGCCCTAACATTAAGGGAATAAGCGTCTTTTTATAAAAGTGCAATATCATAAGATCACAAGTTTTCTTGCTAATCAATAATGTTTCTCCTTAACTTACTAGTACCTTCACCTCTCTTTATTTGTTCATTTTCTTCTAAATCTCTCAACAAAATAAAATAACAATAGAAAAACAATGAGTAATAGCTAACTAATAAAAATAAATCTTCATGTGGTAAAAGTGTAAATTATATACAGAAATGTTATTCGAACATAATAAAATACTTAATAATAGTGTAATTTAAGCTAGTAATATTATCGTAATAACTAGATATGAAGTATATATATGTTCTTAGTACTTAATGTTTTTGTCGAAATTATGATAAACTACTTCTAATGACGACTAAAAAATCCAAATGAGAGACTTACCAATTGCTGGCCAGTTTCATCTCTAATCCCAGCAGCAGCAGATGCATAATTAACTCCTCTCAATACATCCTGACCATTAGCTTGGGCATATGGTTGAGGATAATCATCAAATCCCAATTGCTCAGCTGCATCAATAATCATCATTAATTCATTATCATACATTTTTTTTTTGAGGGAATCATTATCGTACTAATTAATACGTAGTATATACGGAGTATGTTTTAAATCCAAATGATAATGTTTAATTTTGAACTTTTACATTACTTATTAAATCATATATTCGTATTTTCTAAAATGACATGGAGCTCACCGTGGAATATTGTTTAAAAATTTATTACAAATCACGTCTCAAACACTGTTATTATTAATGTTTATTATTAATGCTTACTTGATTTGTTTACTTTTATCATTTAAAATATACGGAGTATATCCCTTTTTTTATTTTGTCTTGTAAAATCATATCTCAATCAGGACTCAGGAATCCGGTGGCATAAATCATTTTTCAAAAATTATTTGCTAATGAATTTATAAATTAAAGTGTTAGAAAATGACACCTAAAATGTTACGGAGTAGTATTAATTAGTCAAGCATCCTTAAGGCTGTGGAACCCTTGCATGTGCTAAAACAAGTTGTTAAATTGAAAGGCCCACTTAATAGTTATCACTCACTCTAAATTTATATTGAGAAATTATACAACCGTGTAATAATACATATTTAGTTGTACATAAATTCTTCCATGCTTGATCTAATTTAAATGTAGAAAAAACTCAAGGGTGCATTACATTTAAGACTATTAAAATCTCACTTAACATTGGTGTCATCAAATGCCTTGATCAACAATACCTCATGATTTTAACCACAATAGGTCATAAAAGACATTGACAAAGTAAGCTAATTAAGTAGCTTAGAATTGGTTATACATTTTAATTTTATAATTCAAACTTTGATACTTTTATGAATCTCCAATATTTTTGACAGGATAATTTTAATTAACATAGTGGTTATTTATTTACTCACATTCAGTAAATTTAAAGATGTAGCAAAATCTAACTCGATAAGGGAATCAAATGCTTACCAATAACGTCAACTGTAGTTTTTCCGTTACTAAACCTTCCGGTCGGTCCAGCAGGAAAATCAATACCGTAGGGCATGTAGTTAGCCCTAGCCAAAGAAGCAATATTATTGTTATTGCCATTATCAACCAATGAGTCTCCAAATACAAAGTAACAAGGCACTTGAGGGTCTCCATTTACCCTCCCCATAAAATTTGCCACAAATATTACTAAACAAAATGACCACAATTTCTTCAACTCCATTGCTAAAATTTCCCCAATTGACAAAACAACTCAAAAGTGTTATTCAATTGGGAAAAAACTATATATTATCCTAGAGTAGTGTAGAAGAAATGTGGTGAATAATAATATTGTGTGACAAAAATGAAATAAAGGAGTAAAGTATATATAGAAGAAAAAAGAAGATATAAAGTTAATGAAGTTAGTTATTAGGTGCATTAAATTTACGCGGACAAAGGTGTGACTACTAAAATAAAATGTACACATTACTGAATTATAAGATATGATCAGAAGTGCATGAAATAATATTGGCTAGGTAATTATTTGATGAAAATTGGAATACCCATGCGTTGACAAATTTTAACATTTCAACGTAAAACTAGTGGTTAAATTTACTGCATTGTACATACAATTATTAGTACTGCATGGAGTACCACCATGCTTGCTGCACCAAGCTTTTATACCATTCGATGGTTCAGATTGACTTACTACTAAACGTCACGTATACGTTGTTGCATAGATGATAGAAGAGATTGGTGTTTTGACTAATAACTGCATAGATTTTAGCGTATACAAGTTTTAATCAATAAAAACATGTTAATGCAAGTATACTATATAAAATTGGTAAATATGTTAATAGTGTGATTAAGTAATGATAATGTTCTTAAGAGTTTGGTAAATATGTTAATAGTGTGATTAAGTAATGATAATATTCTTAAGAGTTACATTCTTATTTATTCCTAGAATTAAATTGTATACTTAAACATTCTTCAAGTGTGAATACGTACTTTGAGTAACGACGGCAAAATACTCAATTCTACTTGATAGCACAATCTTTTGAACAAAAATTTTTCCCTCGGATTTGGTTCCTACCCATCAGCCACCCTATTATTTATCTTCGCTTTATAGCCAGAGGCGGGCATCTCCATTGTAACACTATGGCAATTGAGGCCTAGTCTCTTCTGTTACTAAATACAACCTTGCATGGTACCCGCCACCTTATCTTTAAACCCAAATTAAATATATTCAAAGGCTTCCCAAAGTTTGTTCTTATTAACAATAATCAAGAGATAAACTAGGTTGATTAGTTACAAATGATGAAGCTAGATTGCCCTGATTTGGTTTTTCATAGTTTGTACCTTCAACGTTATTATTTTAAGCGCAAGTTGTTAGTTAAAGGTTTCATTAAATACATATTCTCGAGCTTAAACCACATACCAAACACATATTATTCCTCTACAGCCCTGGTTAATAATATTGTTGCAACTAACACACATTATAATTGTTGTATCATTAATTTTGTCGATCTTCTCCTCTTGAACAATCGTCTTAACATGTTATTATAATGTTACTACTTTCATTATGGTGGATTTCATGTAACATTTGGGTACTTGTTCTTTTGCTTAGTTTGTAAATAATTCCAATAAATGGACTGATGTTATCACCTTTCATCAAATTTTCAATTGTGTATAATGATGAAAGGTGTTTGTGGATTTTGATCTAACGTGAATATATTCGTAGTGTTAGAATATATGCTGCAAATATATTCTGTTGTTGACTTTGTATATAATTAGTTTGGTAATTATGTATATCCTAGCCTTATTTGTAGCTAGTTAGTTTCCTTAGATAACTCTTGTACATGTATATTTATACGCAAGACTAACCAATGCAAAGGCAATGATCACATTCTTTCATGGTATCAGTAGGGTTTGGATCCTAATTTTCCTTCCTCCTCTTCTCACGGCCCATCTCCTTCCTCTTCCTCCAATTTCTTTTCAACCTTCCGCTGCAACATTCCATGGCCGAATCACCCAAATATCATCCCGCTTTTGCTATCACCAACGTGAAGTCTCTCATTCCGATCACTTTGGAGGCCGCCGGAATGTACCACTCTTGGGCCGCTCTTTTCAAGGTGCTATGTCGGGTTCACGACCTTACATATCACTTCATTCCTCCTACGGAGATGACGGTTGTCGCTGCATATGAACAATCTAAGAAGGCAGACTTGGTTTTTTGGAAACGACTGGATGTCGCGGTCCTTAATTGGATATACGGTTCCATTTCTCATGATCTTCTCACTGCTATCCTGCTTAAGGATGACATCGCTCAAGGTGCTTGGGCTCGCCTCGAGTCTATGTTCCAGGATAATAAAGCATCCCGGGCTTCTCATCTCGAACAAGAACTTGCTGACCTTGATTTTGAGAATTTCTCTTCAATTGATGGCTATTGTAATCAATCAAATCCCTTGTCCATTGTCTTGCGGATATTGATGCTCCGATTCCCGATACCCATCTAATTCTCAAACTGACAGCCAGCCTTCCCGAGGCTTATGCAGGCACGCTAGATTTTATCCAAAATCAAGAACCTCTGTCATCCTTTGAAAGCTGCCGATCTCGTCTAAAATTAGCCGAGCGAACAATTAAAAATCGTCTGGCTGAGGAAGGTGGCTCCTCTAAGCGGCCGGCTACTGCCTTGGTCTCCACCACTGGTGGTAATCAGCCATCGGAGTCCTCTGCTTCACGAACCAATGCAACTCTAAGAACAGCAAGCAAAAGCATAAGATTTCAAATAAGCCTGCTCGCAATTTTGGCAGCCCGGCCCAATAGTAGTCCTGTTCAGTGAATGGGCCTCAATGGCCATTTCAGCAAGCCCATATAATTGGCCTGGTACATGGAACCCGTGGACAACACAGTGGCCCAGTTCACCGTGTCCTTACCCAGCCTCATCTTGGGCTTCCAAGCCTTCTGCTCCCACCACCAATTCTAGGTCAGGTGGACCTGGTATTCTGGGCCAGCACCCTCAGGCGTATAGTGCAGTCATCCCGTCTCCAACGACATTGAAGCGGCAATGCACATGCTTGCTAATTTGGGTAAACCGGATAACAACTACTACATGGACACCGATGCTACGACTCATATGACCGCCAATCAAGGTATTCTCTCTTCTTATGTCAATTCGAGCATTAAAAATAATAACATTGTTGTTGGTAGTGGTGATTTAATTCCGATTATTGGTCATGGTAGCACTACTTTACATCACCCATACCCTCCCTTCACTCTAAATAATGTTTTGCATGCTCTCAAATTGATAAAGAACTTGATCTCAGTCTGTAAATTTACCACGGATAATAAGGTTTCCATTGCTTTTGATCCTTACAGATTTTTTGTGTATAACTTACAAACGAGGGATCATCTAATAGAATGTGAAAGTACCAGTGACCTCTATCCCATTTTTTCAAACAGTCAAGCAAACTCTTCCATCAATCAATCCAATTTTACTGCTCTTTCACCAGATCTTTAGCATAGGCGCTTAGGACATCCTGGAGATGCCGTTCTTAGATCTTTAAGTAGTAAAAAATTTATTGATTGTAATAAGGCTTGTAATTCTTATTGTTCTTCCTGTCCTCTTGGAAAACTCTCTAAATTACCGTTTAATGATTCTATGTCACAAACTACTTTTCCTTTTGATATATTATCCATAGCGATTTATGGACTTCTCCTATTACTAGTTCTTCTGGTCATTTTTATTATCTATTTGCTTGATGACTATAACAAATTTTTATGGACTTATCCAATTTCAAAGAAATCCCAAGTCAAACACATTTTTCAATCTTTTCATAAGATAGTCCAAACTCAATTTAAACGTAACATTACGACTTTTCAATGTGATAATGGCACTAAATATGCTAATGGTACTCATAAATAATTCTTTAACAACCATGGCATGCTTTATCGTCTCTCTTGTCCTCATACTTCACCTCAAAATGGAAAAGCAGAACGTCACATAAAATCAATTAACAACATCATTAGGACTCTTCTTGCTCATGCTTCTTTGCCTCTCTCGTTTTGGCATCATGCTTTAGAAATGGCCACTTATCTTCTTAACATTCTTCCAACCAAGGTCTTAGGTTATAAATCTCCAACTCAAATTTTATACCAACGTGATCCAATATATTCGGAATTACGTGTCTTTGGTTGCCTTTGTTTCCCTTTTTTTCCCACCACTTCTATGAATAAGCTTCAAGAAAGGTCCACTCCTTGTGTCTATCTTGGTCCCGCGCCAAGTCACTGAGGTTCAAAGTGCTATGATCTATCAAATGGAAAAATCATAATTTGTCGGCATGTGAAATTCATAGAAAACGAATTTCCATTTTCAAAGGTTAACAAACCACAAATGACTGATTACAATTTTTTAGATGTTAATCCAACTAATCATCTTCCCCATTTGCATGCACAGCAACCTCATGCCCAGCCCACTATCTCTCAAGTGAGCCTCCCCCCTTCTCCGAATGGACCCTCTCCTTCCAGCCCACTTACTCCTTCTACAGGTATTGTCACGGCCCAGTCTAAGAGCCCCAAGAAGCCCGCCCCAATTTTCACTCCTCACCTTGGACCGCCACTTTTGGACAGCTCACCCATCACTTCCTCACAAAGTGATGGTCACTCCCCACAACCGAGCCCACTTGCCACTGCCCACGGCAGTGCTACCTCCTCACCACAGCCAAGCCCACCACCCGACGGCTACCCCACTCCACACCTCCACCACCACCACATCAGCCGACCACACACCAAATGACCACCCGTGCCAAAGATGGCATTATAAAACCTAACCCAAAGTACTTTTCCAACCTAAACACGATTACCACAACCATCTCTCCTATACCAAAGGACCCGATTAGTGCTATTGGTGATCCTAATTTGAAAAATGCAATGTTAGACGAATATAATGCTCTTATTGATAACCATACATGGGATTTGGTTCCTCGGCCTCCTAATGTGAATGTTATTCTCTCTATGTGGATATTTGTCATAAACGAAATTCTGATGGTTCTTTTGAGCGGTATAAGACTCGTCTTGTAGGTGATGGGAAGACTCAGCGACAGGGTATTGATTGTGATGAGACCTTCAGTCCGGTTGTTAAACCGGCTATACTATTCGTATTGTTCTTAGCATTGCTATCTCTCATTCTTGGCCGATCCATCAATTGGATGTCAAGAATGATTTTCTGCATGGTTATCTTAATGAGACAATTTAAATGCATCAGCCCATGGGTTTTCGTGACAAAAGTCACCCTGATCATGTGTGTCTTTTACGAAAATCTCTCTATGGTCTCAAACAGGCCCCTCGTGCCTGGT